TATTCTTGTGAATATAATCAGGCAGGTTCTCATCAGCAGTTTCCCGAATAAAATGACAAAATGCATTTTGTTCTTTCCCCTATAGCAAATGTCCAAAATAATAAGATGTTTAACAAAATGAGTGGAGATTTATAGAAATAAAATAGTTCTATACATATGATAAACATTAATATTTTACTAAATTTTAAATGTATTAACTTTATCTGGATTATGCGGCTGTCGGTAGCTGAAAGGGCAATGGAACGAGCAATGTTGGGAATTTCCCTTCTGGATCATATCCCAAATGAAGCGATTAGAGAACGCAGTGGTGTGAAAGATATTGTTGTGGAAAGCAGATATAATAAGATACGATGGGCGGGCCACATAGCACGGTTCATGGACAATAGGTGGACCGCAATCATTACTGAATGGTACCCGCGCGAACAGAAAAGACCACCTGGTCGGCCTCCAAGAAGGTGGAAAGATGACATTGTAAAACGTTTCGGACAAACTTGGAGAAGAAAGGCAAGAAAGCAAGAAGAATGGCGGACGTGTTGTGATCAGCGCAGTCTTAACGACAGCTGAAGACTGATCGATCCAGGTGATCCAGGTGATTTTCATAGCAGCAAAACTCAAATCACATTTCGATCTGCAAACTTATGTTTGTACTAGAAACATCTAACAATCACTTCAACTAAAAAAAAAAACTTACAGTAAACGGGACTTTATGGATTGCTACTTTCACAGTTTTGGTTGCATCCTCACTGTCTTATGCATTAACATGCTGATATCACTCACACACACTGCCCTGGGAGAAACTTAGATGTAGTCTTTTTACAGACTCTGCTAGGGAATGCCAATAGCAGCAGTAAAGCCAAAGTCGAAACTGAAGAGGCAGCAGACCACTGTGAGCACGGAGAGGAAAAGTGAGCTTGAGCACATTTGGTGCTGTGCTCTTCAAGCCTGCTGATAACACCTTTATAAGCATGAGCTGCGGAACAGAAATCCCCTTATCTCCACACCCAATGCATAGTTTTGCTGTTTAAATTTAAACATTGTTTAAAGGGTGCTTTACCAGAATCTTGAATATTTTTAAAAATTGGCCAATATAAAAATAATCAAGTTGACAATGTCCTTTATATTACTGAATCAAAGGTAAATATGAAACAATGTAGTGTGTGAATGTGAAGAGCTGCATATCCCTAAATCAAATACAGTGAATGAACAGCTGAATTAAAATTTTCCAGTATAACACACACACAGCAATATTCTTTTCTTCAGAAATCAGAGTACAATAATCTTTAAAGCCATTATTTTATTTTTAATAAAATGATTTTCTAACAATTTACAAACATAATTATTCATATTTTCTAATCACACTGTAAACTTTATCAAATGCAACTAGTCGCTTTGCACTTTTTTATTTATTTTTTTAATAAACTAAGAGGGTAGGGTAGAGAAATTCCATAAAATGAGCCTGTCTTTAAAAATTAAATGTGGAGTATATTATAATGTTCCTTATTTTCAAAAGGTAACCCTCCAATAGATATACGGTCCACTTAACGTATATGAAATTGCACATTGTTCAAATACATTACTCTGTACAGTAGTATATTTTGAATTGCTCATATTTTGTTAATTACTACAGGCTTCAAATAGGTAGGATCTGAAGCATTAAAAATGGTCTATTCATTCATCTCCAGTTTCACACACACTACTCCATTTTTGTAGTTCCTGGGAATCATTTATATTCCATATTCTGGCAAAAGATTTTAGCCTTTTTCTGAAAAACAAAACCACAAAAATCAAAATAAGGATATGTATTTAAATTTACAAATATATTAATTAGCCACTGAAAACACGGAAATTGTTTTAAAGTATTTTGCATGCTGTAAAAAAAGGAGCAAGACTTATGAGCTCAAAGTAAAATCTTCCAATAAGTCAAAACACTACGTTAACGGTGCCCACTGTAAATATGTGGGTAACATTTTCTACAATATACATTTAATATTTTTGGCCACTATGATAGGCTCATGAAATGCAACAAATTATCTTCCTGAGGCTGCCACGGTACAGAAAGCAACAAGCAAATGGCACAAAAGACTGAGCACAATATAAGTCAATGAAGAGAAATAGGAAAGTGGTTTACATAGATAAGAATGTTAAAAACAATATCAACATTCATTCAATAGCAGTACTACAAGTATATATTTCAGCAATGGAAGAGACTAGAAGAAATTTGAGATATATTCTCATAATTTGTAAGTAAATGCACACATCCAATTCCTTTTTTTAATTTTTGAGACCCAAGAAAGATAGTGAGTCAGAGCAACTAAGTAGCAGCAAGATATTTAACATGACTGAGAATGTGTTTCTGATATTTCACATGAATATGAAAAGCTAGTGAAGTCCTTAGATATATCCAATTAATTTTCCCATATAACATGCAATGAGGTACAGAAAAAATTGACGAGTCAGCTGGCCTTGTAGGTCTAGTGGTAGCACAATATATTGCTATGTAAGCATCCAATTTTGATCCTCAAGATCATGTCCACATTTCCAGATGGGAAGCAGCTGAGAGTATACTAAATTCCAGTGGGAAGGAACCACTTCTTGTCAACTGCCCGTGACCCTATCTGGCAAGAGTCCTGTTAACAGAAGAAGATGCATCTACCAGTAAATAATAGATGCATATTATCTAACTGACCATACTGCACAATTTTAAGAAATCTTTGTATCCCAAAAATATGAGTGCTTTTCTTTTTTTGAACATTTCATTTTAAAATGTAAACATTCAAAATATTCAATATTACTATTAGAACCCTGTTGGGTATTTTTTGTCAGAAAATGCTGATTCATCAAAAGGTCTCAATTTTGTTCTGATGTAGAATGGGAAAATTTTGAAATTTCAAAAATTATCATAGGACAGGAAAACCATTTCCTATGACCTAATTACTATCAGCCCAATAATGCTTTTGTCTTTGACAAAGAATATATCACAAAGTAATGCTGCAGATCAAAAAAATGGGGATATTTCAACAAAAAGGTTTCTCAACTCAGACCAATAATTGGAACCTGGGTCTCTCACATCCCAGGTTTATGTCCTAACCATTAGGATATAGAGTGAGTTGCTTTCTTTTTCTGGCCCAATTAATATTTAAGTATAAAAAGGGAAACAGATCCAACAGGAGACACTGAGATACACCCATTCTAGAATAGCCAGCAGTCTGGTGGGTCAGGGCACCTGCCCAGGAAATCTCAAAAATGTTCATGGAATAGGAAAACCATTTCCCATGCAGTACTAATTACTATCAGTCCAACAAAGCTTTTGTATCTGACAAATAGCATATCACAAATTATTGCTGCAGATTAAAGAAATGGGGATATTGTAGCAAATCAGCAATTTTCTTATAATTTTAAGAGTCAGAAATATAAAGCAACAAAACTAATTATTATTAAAAATGGTTAAAGTCACATTCTTTGGGTAAGAGCATCTGCAAAACACTGATATTAGTAAGATTATAAAACTGAAATTAATGGCATGTATAGATATACTGGAAGAAAATGTTTTTATCAAAAAGTAAAAACTGGAACAAAGAATTAGGCACTATACAGATGGAAAACTTCTTATGATATGCAATCGAATGACATGTTTGATAATTTTGGACTAGATAACACACATTACTTTAGGCCCCAGATTCTTGAAGGAATCATGAATAAAAGGATGTTATCTGCAAAGTATATGCAAGAGGTCTACAGCAGCATGTGCACTTCCTGGACCAGTAATACCACCAGACATATTGAAACTGGAGTTTACACATTAAGGTACTTCTTTGTTTAAAAACAGGTGAAGATGATGAAACATCAAAATCATCAAAACAAAGACTGAAAATTATATAAAATTATAATACTATGTACATCTCCTAAATTATGCAAGTAGATGAAGAGTCTGAATTACATAGCAGTACAGCATGTGGGCTGTATGCAAGATTGAATAGTAATTTCCACTTTGCAGTTTATTAATACTATTATTATTTATTCTATTATTTGACAAATATACAATGCTATACAATACCAAGTGAAAACATATTTTAAGGCATATGCATACCATTGCAGTATTAAGGGTCAGCTATCAATCATAACTCTACATTTCCTGATTTGTGAATACTTGATCTCTCAACTTTTTAAAACTTCATTCCAGAAGAAAAGGCCTAAAACTTGGGATATTAAAAGTTACTACAGAGAACTTTTTTCCGGAGGGTCTGGCTGGAGAATCTTGCCCGCATGCTCGGGGTTCAGCTGATCACCATATTTGGGGTCGGGAAGGAATTTTCCTCCAGGGTAGATTGGCAGAGGCCCTGGAGGTTTTTCGCCTTCCCCCGCAGCATAGGGCAGGGGTCGCTTGCTGGAGGATTCTCTGCGACTTGAAGTCTTTAAATCATGATTTGGGGACTTCAACAGCTGAGGCAAGGGAGAGAATTATTCCAGGAGTGGGTGGGTCAGCTTTTGTGGCCTGCATCATGCGGGAGGTCAGACTAGATGATCATAATGGTCCCTTCTGACCTTAAAGTCTATGAGTCTATAATAAACAATGCTTGTGACATTTTCTGAAGAACTCTGATATCCCTATGGTTTGCAGCAGGACTTTTTACATTTAGCAGGGGAATAGTTTTGAGTCAAGGAGGTGCCTTTTGCTGTCATAGAATCATAGAATATCAGGGTTGGAAGGGACCTCAGGAGGTCATCTAGTCCAACCCCCTGCTTAAAGCAGGACCAATCCCCAGACATTTTTTTACCCCAGTTCCCTAAACGGATTGAACTCACAACCCTGGGTTTAGCAGGCCAATGCTCAAACCACTGAGCTATCCCCCCGTAATTCCATGGCACCATGTAATTTCATACAGATTAGGCAGAGTTGTAAACTGTTGAAAATCACCATTTTCTATCTGTGGTTCCCACAGTTGAGCTTGTTTTTGGTAGCATACCAAAATCTCACAACATTATGGCAGTGTACACTCAGTGCCCTATTGTGTCACTTCAATATTTATAGTTAGGACAAAATCCAAACATGCAAATGGATTATCTGGATGTTGCTGCTCATTTAAATACTTTTTGCCTCAGGGAGATGGGCATTGCACCAGAAAGCAGGAGGCTCTGAGTTCAAGAATCACTTCTACTGACTACTGCTGCTAATTCTGTACCCTTCACAAATCTTATTAAGCAAAACCTCATACCCCACTGAAAGATTTCACAAGTTTGGAGCAGAACCCTGATCTCTAATATGGGAACTCAACTCCCATCTACTTAGCCACATTGCCTCTCAGAAAGAACCCACCGTGATTTTCTCTTTGACTAGGTTGTCTGTAAAAGAGGCCACTCATATATTTCAGTTTCTTGTGTTGTTGTTGTCTAGTGGCTGGTCCACATAAGATAACAGCCTTCTCCTGCTGACAGCTAGCGTAGTTAGTTCTGTAGTTCAGGTGGTAGAATGCTGTGCTGTGCTGGAGTACTGAAGGCACAAAGTTCAAATCTTGGTGATGATTCCTGGTGAGGGGTTTACTACAGTTGCCGACAAATGAATTTTCTTTGCTTTTTCTCTTTTTAAAAAACTACATATAAAAAGCTATCTTAAAAGAATAACTATGTAAGCTTAATTATAAGAACTGGAAAATTCAGACAAGCCAGAATTAACATTACCTACTCAACTAAGGTTAGGTTATAACACTGCCTTAGCTGGTTTAAATTGTTTTCTCTTTGCATAGCAGTTTTTAATGACTTTAGAAGCTCACACAGCAGATGATAAAATTAAGACATTTATGAGCAACTTGAGGTTTTACTTTTGAATTATGGGCCATATAATACTGACAAGTGTAAATTACTGCATAATTTTTCTTCAACCCTTTATATATCCTCTATGTATATATTAAGGTTTTATTGTTCTGTTCTTAAAACACGACAGGATAAGAATTGGCTTTAAGCTCTGTAGACTGCTTAGCTTCAAAGGAATTGTTTGTACCCCAAAATAATTAGGACCTAAAAAATTTGCCCTGGAAATCCTTCTGCCTATATTATTTATGATAATCAGAAAGAGCTTGATCTATATTACATAGCTAAGAGCTGGTTTGATTTGACATTTCAGATGAGACTCAGAAAAAATCATTAAAGTTAGTAGAAGTCATCTTACAGTGCAGATCCATTATGTACAAATCAACAACATAAACAGAAGAATCCTTACAGACTTCAACATTTTATGAGTCTTTAAATCAGATGTAGAAAAAAGTATTTACAGTACCTATCTGTACTTCTGACTAACCTGTTTACATACAGTTGTTAAAATGTTATACGGTCTATAAGAAGTTATGCCAGTTAATACACTAGAGAATCATCCATCACCTATTGTATAAGATAGCCCCGACTAGAGCACCCTGTAGTGGCAGACTAGGGCTGAAACAGTATGCCTTCCTCAGTTTCCCTCCTTGACAGGCCACAGTAACTCCATGCCAGACTTCTTACCTCAGTCATACCCTACTTTGGGGCCAGTTTATTACCAAAAGAGTGCAAAACAGTTGATAGCAAAAGATCCCAAACATAGTCCATTTATCACCCCCCTGCAGATAGTCCTTAAAAATCACACATTCTCTTGTCCATCAACATAGCACATACCAAATTCTACCATCTTCCAACACACCTGGGTTCCTTATCACTCCTTTTCTGTCTCTCTCCCAGGATAGCCATCCCAGCCTTCCACCTGGAGCATAACCCCACTCTTCCCAGTGGGAACCTCCACAGACCCTCTGCTGGGAGATCATCCTCACCGTTCCCCTAGGGCCCCTCTCCAGCATGAAGACATCAGTGTATAAGCCCCTTTGCAGCTCCTTTGCTTTCAGCCCTCTCCAGCCCTCAGCTTTGGATCTTCATTTTAGTGGTTAGCAGACAAATTCTTCTGCTACTCAATGGCCTTCAGCCCTCTCCAGCCCTGGCTCTTTGGGCTTGAGGAAGTCAGCCAAGAAACCTCTCTTGCTGTTCTCCTGCCTTCAGCCTTTCCCCAGGAACCATGTACAGCAGTAATACTCAGGCCTCAGTGGTTCAGGAGCCAAATTAGCGATCAACATTACCCAAAAGAGCCACAGTAGTGTGAATTCACTTTTACATTTACTCTCTCTCAATAAAATTCTCACAGCAAAATGACTGACCAAGTATTATATTTTATCAACTACAATTGGTTAATAACATAGTAATTGGTTGGTTAATAATTAAATCACACCGTGTTTTAATATCTATATTAAAGATATATCGAAGAGCCACAGGAGACACATTAAAGAGCCACTTCGGCTTTCAAGCCTCAGTCTGAGTATCACTGATGTGCAGCTTCCCTCAGGAACTTCCTAGTCTCCTGGGCTCTGGCAGCTCTCAGCTGCCAGTATCTCACTCCCAGGCAGTTCTCACCTGCCCTTCACCTGACCAACTCCTCCACTGTCTCAGTCTCTTCCCATTTATATGGCCCAGGTGCCTTCTCTTAAGCCTAATTGGGAAGCAGATGATTAATCACAGGTACATTGGCTTCTTCCTTCTTAAAGGGTCAGTGTCACCCTGTGACACCTACGTAATGTACAGTATATGTATAAGCACATATCTGAAGTTCAATATCAGTAAAAACATTAAAATCCCTAAATTTCTGGAAAATGTAAAGTTTTGAGGTTTATTAAAACTAATACAAAGATATACTCTTATTTAAATCAGAAACAAAGCTCTCCAGGTCCTTCTCTATTTTTATAAATAGCTAGCAAACTCTAAACTCTTAAGTAAATAAGTTTAAATTATTTTCTAAATTAAAAATATCTGGGATAAGTATTTTAAGACATCAACTAATCTTTTTAGTACCTATTCATAAATAAAAAGTTATGTAAATAGACATCACATTTATATTTATTTTCTTCCTGAAGAAAAAGTAAAAATATGTTTTAGACCAGTGGTTCTTAACCTTTACTGCAGCCTGTTCTCGCACCCCTTATCAAAAATCAAAATATGTTCTCGCACCCCTTATCAAAAATCGTTGAAGTAGGTCAATTCTTTAAACCTAGATATATTTTTTGTTTGTATATTACAGTAATTGTTAAAAAAATTATAATGTTAATAAATACATAGGTTTGATTAAACAAAGTAGTTGTACTTACATGCCTGTGCTTAATTCGTGTTTTCTATGTTTTACCTTCTAAAAAAATCTGGCATGTCTTGCACCCCCAGAAAGGGCATCTCACACCCCCAGGGGGTGCACCCCAGGTTAAGAACCACTATTTTAGATGAACAAATTAGCTTACTAAAAGTTGCTGTAAAAGATTCAAAATTGTTTCTGCCTACACTAGTTCATATTTAAAAAAAACAGACATACTGCATATTTTAGGTAGTTTAAACCTTTGATAGGGTGACTGAATATACAACTAATTTCAGTTATTTAATTTATAAAGCTTTGATTAAAGAGGACAGCATGATTTCATACACTTTTTCAAGAGCTGTTTTCATTGTATCTTAATTAAGTATTTAAGTGTGTCTGGTATAACTCTTAATGCTCTTTCTGATACCCCATTTACTGGAAAAAGCTCCCCTACTCACATCTGAATCTTTCATTACAAACAGAAGAATTCATCACAATTATTCTGACCTTTTCATATTCACTAATCCCTCAAGCTCCTTTGATTTGTGAGCTGCCTTCTTTAAGATTTCTTCAGGAACATCTGCTAGTTTAGCAACATTTAGTCCATAACTCCTTGCAGCAACTCCTCTAGTTATTTGATAAAGAAAAGTGATAAATTCAGGATTCTCTTCATCTTCAGATCCTAGAGAATAAGTAAAAAAAAAATCACTATTGTATCAATAAAACTCAAGGTCCTGAAGATTAAGTTGATAGAACAACAACATATTATCCGTACAATTCATAGAATCATAGAATATCAGGGTTGGAAGGGACTTCAGGAGGTCATGTATCCTCCTTAATAACCATACCCTACAAGGAACATTAAGCCAAAAAAAAGATGGATTATCTCAAGTGCCAAAATGTCTCCTAGCTAGCTAGTATACTTTGCATAGCCCCTTTCCAATAGCTTTATTCTCATTTGGGGCCTGATCATTGAGAAGTGTGTGGAGAAGCTACAGAATTGGGCCCTATCTCTTTGTAAGGCTGGCAAGGTTACTGACACTAATTTAGGCTACATTTACACTGGACACCACTGCTGGCGACATGTAGGATATGTGTAGGTACGCATCACAATGAAAAGCAGGCTTCATCTCACTGTGGTATGTCTCTACACACATCAGTGAAAGGCTGTGGCGGCGGAATGCATTTGGAAAAGGCTCCGGTGGCAGGGAGCTGCCAGAGTCTCTCTCTGCTGCCTCCACCCCGCCAGAGCCTCTCCTCACTGCCAGAGTCCTTTTTCTGTGGCTGAGGCCTTGCCTACACTAAAGAGAAAAGTCGATCTAAGCTACGCCATTTGAGTTATGCAAATAGTGTAACTCAAATTGACGTAGCTTAGACCTACTTAACGTGGGGTGATGTCGACGGGAGACACTCTATTGACCACTGATGCATTGATTGCGGCAGCGTCAATCCTCTGGTAAGTATAGACAAGCCCTGAGAAAGGCTCTAGTAGGTCCTGTGGCAGGGAAAGGTGCCAGCAGTGGTGAGACAGTGGGACTCTACACTGCTAAAAGTAGCAGTGTAGACAGGGGAGGCAATGCTCGGGCACATAGAGAGTGGTGTACGATATGTACCCTAAAGGTTCATATGTATCTTTACTCACCTAAGCAATGCCTCACTGGCTACACTGTTCTATATACCCGTGTTAGTGGGGTGTGCAGTGTATGTACTCTACACGCTACCGTAAGTAGTGAGCAGGGTAGACATACCCTTAGTGTACAGTTTAAATACATAAAACTAACTAGTTCTCCAGAACATAATATCATGTCTCTCCAATATTCCTGAACAGACATGGAGGAGTAGAGAAAGTGCCAGGACCCGTGCACGCCGGGGCTCTGCACACCCAGCACACCAAAAGGCTCTCTGGTCAACAGTGAGTTAGGTGCCTGGGTTTGATTAGAGGAAGAGTAGAGGGTGGGGATGGTGGAGCTGCAGTTACAGTTGGAAGTTACAGATAAGGGTTGTCTTCCAAAGGTTCAGGTGGGAGCACAAAAGTCATCACGGCTGTTGCAACCATGATGATTCCTTTCCTCTGTCCCTGTGGAGATCCCCAATGCATACCCCACTTATTCAGGCTTTGTGTTGAGAACACACAAGATAAATTGACCCCCAATCACTGCCATTCAATCGTTCCTCTTTTCTTTGGAAAACAATGAGGAGCTCTCAGTGGTGAAGCTCAGGTTGACTCATCCTTTGAGTGCTGTTTTGAACTCAATGCCATGGCTTCAAGCCAGTGGAGTTGGCCTCTGCCATCCCAAAACATGACAAAGAAGGGGGGCCGACAACAAAGCAGGAGAGGTTTAACAGAGCATAAAATAGAGGCTGAGCCAAGCGAAAACTTTGCAAAATATACCAAAAAGTCTAACTCTGTTGAAGTTATTCAAACCTGAAGATAACAAACAAAAGAAAGAGATAAGGGTAGTAATAGACACCGCTGAGCTCCTGCTCACAGCCTATGATGGTGGTGGGGATGGGGGGGGGAGAGATAGGACTGCACCCCTTATATGTTCTCAGGAGAGGAAATATGAAAATACAGGCAGGGTGCATGCTCAGACCAACTAACACTGCTATCTAGAAAGTTAATAGAGCATGCACAATATGAAGAATGGGGTCCATGTTCAAAGAAGAGGAAACATTTAATATTAATTTCCTTCTCATCAAGATAATGAGAATATCACATCAGCCTGATAACCAGACCCTAACATTTAAATATTGATTTTTTTTTGTGAATGAGATAGTTTGATGATCAGGCAGGTGATTCCCTTCATTAGGAATGCCACCGTAGGTATGACATCATAAAAAACATCAGCCAATTAGAGCATGACTTTAGACAATCAGTGCTCAAAATGCATATATCCTAATTTCTTGTCATTTAAATAAAACATAACACTAAGGTCAAATTCTACCCGTTACATGTTGGTTGATGGCTCACACTGACAGAAATGAGAGTTATGTGCATATATGCCAGTGCAAGTTTTTGAAGTAATTACAATTAATTGAGCACACTTTTTAAACCAGTTAGCTTGAGAATATCATGTAAACAATAACAATATATAATATTTTAAAATCTGGTGTTCAAAGTGTACTAGGTGCTGTGTATACAAATAAGGAGACAAAAGGTTCCTGTTCTGATATATTTACAGTTTAAATAAACAATATATCCTAAGGCTAATTAATCATGAAACAAAGAAATAAACATTTTCAGTTTTCAAGCAAACAAGAGATTTAAGATATAGACTAAGATTCTTAAAGCAGTCTAGTGGATTCAGATCTACATCTTTATCATATTTGTGTTTAAATACCCAAATCTCAACCTATATCTTTATATCCATAATGCTAGTAATCTCAGACAATTTCATACTGTACCTTTTTGTTGTTCACTTTCTTCTTCATTCACCAGGAAGGCCATGTGGTAGTTCCCAACCTGCTCTGGGTATATCTTTTCTAGATCACATACTGAAGGGTAGTGAGTGACAAACAGTGTCAATGATTCCACCTATAGCAAAAGAGACACACGTATGAATATTTTTTTAAACAGACGTTTAGCACTGGTGTCCTCTTTTCCATAGCTCTTCACTCTGTGAAGCTGAACACGTGCACATTGTTCCACAAAGGAAAAAACCATCTTGCAGACATGCTTAGCGTAGCAGTCAGAGTTCCCCTGCAATACAGATACAAATACATTTTAAACACTTACATCTCCGATAAAATGTTCAAGTGTAGCATAGGCAATAGCAATTCCATCGTGTGTGCTAGTTCCTCTCCCCAGTTCATCCAATATTACTAGTGAACTTGAGGTCGCTTTTCTTATTATCTCTGCTGTATCTGTTAGTTCTTCCATGAAAGTACTCCGACCCTTGTATATGTTGTCTGCAGCACCCATTCTGCAACCGAAAACAAGGCAGTTTGTTTAATTTATTAAATTCAAATCAAAAGACCGCGTGTTTTGGAAAACAAGCATAAAAAACTCAATACTTTTGAAAATCAAATTGGCTTCCTATAAAACTTTTCTTCTTGTTCCAAGGACAAAGACATAGGGCTTGAATTATTATTCAACATCTCATACAATTCTAAACCTCTTTTTAAAAAGTTACAATAATACACAGATGCAAAAGCAAAGACATTCTAAACAAAAGAAATATCCTGTAGTATAATGATATGTAAGTAACAAATGTGCCCTAAAGTGATGGGATGTACTGACCTTGCAGGATTCTAGGGAAGAATCTTTCCAGGTCACCAGTAATCTGGCTTGCTCAAAGGCAAGTAAACCCATTATACCTGTATTTGCTTCAGGAATTCTATAAAACCAGCAGAGGTTTAAACAAGTGAGTTTACTTGGCATGTGGTCCTTGTTATTTTGACAACAAACCCTGCTGGAAGAGCATAACCTGCTTAATATCTCTTGAAAAGGCCTGGGAACTTAAGAGACCTGCTAGTCCACAGTAAGGACTCTAGTGAAGATAGACTGTAATGAAGAATGATTCTTCTATGCTTTGGACAGTTTGTTTCTCTTTCTTGTAAGCACTTTTATTAATGAGGCAGCAGACCTAGGACCTGAAGTGGAGACATCCTGGTGGTGTTTTTTTGTTTTGTTTTTTGTTTATTCTGTTCTGCTAAGTGAATCAAATAAATGTCACATTTAAGGCAAGGGTGAAGACTTCATTAAACAAAGTGTCTGGGTGCCTCATTTATGGTGGGGAAATCTAGGCTGTTACAGAACTTAATATTCAGAATAGAAGAGGAATCAAGGCATAGCTGACAGTGGCAGGTATTGGCATTCCCAAATGTAGGTGCAGAATCAACTCATGGCCTCTGGAATTTGTGCACTCAAGCAGTGTTTCACTCTGAAGAGACCTCTGGGACAATCATCATAGTTTGGTCTTGCAAAGAGTAATAGTTGGAGAATGGGAATTAATGTAGTAATTTGTCTCAGTTAAAGAAGCAATCTTGCTGACATCCTTAAAATCATTAGAAGAAAAAGATTTAGCGAACTTTGTATGGGACTGAAGAGCAGTCTCCCATTATCCAACATAAATTGATGTGTCTTTATCCTGCCACACAATTGTTTCAGAACTGCTCACTTGTAACCAAACATACCAGAATGGCCCCGATGAACTCTTTTTTTGTGTCAGGATCGGTATTGACTGGTCTTTGTTTATTTTCACACTTAATTGGATGAACAGAAGCAGAATCTGCTGGATGAAGTCTGCTACATATTGACAAGACTTCCCACGAATCAGACAGTCATGTCAGACTGGGAACACTTGGATTCCCAGTTTCCTGAGGTTAGCTGCCACTACTGCATGGCACTTTGTGCCCAGCTGTGGACAGATCGAATGGCAGTACTCTATAGTGGTAATGGCAGCCTCCCACTAGGAAGCTTAGACACCTTCTGTGGGCTGGGTGGATCGAGGTATGAAAAGAGGCATCACATATGCAAACTACAGGTGGAATGGCTTTTCCTGTGAAACAAGTCCAGCTTCTTGGTCTCTTTGTCTTTAGGTGTTGACCTTTCTTACCCCAGTGAGTCTTCTCATTGGCTGCTGCCACTACCAGTGAGCCTGGTGTGGTATCAGTGTAAAATTGTTCGAATCCTTGACAGAGGACTTGATAGCAGCAGTCTTCTCTCTAAGATGTTGGAGCCAATGAGGCAGGGGTTTGCCACAGTACTTAGGAGGGTCTAATAGATCTTCATGTATTGGGAGAGATAATGACCTGATATAGAGTCATGGAGAATATCAAGGAGCTTTTCAGGTTTGTCTTGGACTATATTGACAGGAATCTTTAGGGTAGAGATGACTCTTAATGTCTTGAAATGCTTTACAGTCCTGCTTGCAATCCCTCATCTGATCATGTGTTGGTGATATCTGGCTGCACACACACTGGCTCAACACAACACACACACCTCGCTGCATAAAGGAAAAAAAAATCCTTGCAGATGTGCTTAGCGTAGCATTCAGAGTTCCCCTTTAATACAGAAACAAATACATTTAAAAGTGTATGACAGATTAAACACTTACATCTCTAATAAAATGTTCAAGTATAGCATAAGCAATAGTGATTCCTTCATGTGTGCTAGTTCCTCTTCCCAGTTCATCCAATATCACTAGTGAACTTGAGGTTGCTTTGAGGTGAGTGATTTGGGACTAAAGTGCAATACTGAAGTAGTTCTGAGCATAAGGAATGCCCCCTAGAGGCCAAGACGGTCAAAGGTGTAGAAAGCATAGGGGGCCCGTGGCTAATGGAGAGGGTACCAAGGATCTGTATCCTTTTGTAGAAGTAGAAGTGGGTGGCAACCTGAGCAGCAGTGACCCAGAGATGGTCGAGTTCAGGATCCTGACAAAAGGAAGAAAGGAGAGCTGCAGAACACGGACCCTGGACTTCAGAAAAGCAGACTTTGACTCCCTCAGGGAACTGATGGGCAGGATCCCCTAGGAGGCTAATATGAGGGAGAAAACAGTCCAGGAGAGCTGGCTGTATTTTAAAGAAGCCTTATTGAGGGCACAGGAACAAACCATCCCCATGTGCAGAAAGAATAGCAAATATGGCAGGTGACCAGCTTGGCTTAACAGAGAAATCTTCGGTGAGCTTAAACACAAAAAGGAAGCTTACAAAAAGTGGAAAGTTGGACAGATGACTAGAGAGGAGTATAAAAATATTGCTCAAGCATGTAGGGGTGTAATCAGGAAAACCAAAGCACAATTGGAGATGCAGCTAGCAAGGGATGTGAAGAGTAACAAGAAGGGTTTCTGCAGATATGTTAGCAACAAGAGGAAGGTCAGGGAAAGTGTGGGACCCTTACTGAATGGGAGAGGCAACCTAGTGACAGATGATTTGGAAAAAGTTGAAGTACTCAATGCTTTTTTTTGCCTTGGTCTTCACAGACAAGGTCAGCTCCCAGACCGCTGCACTGGGCAGCACAGTGTGGGGAGGAGGTGAGCAGCCCTCAGTGGTGAAAGAATAGGTTAAGGACTATTTAGAAAAGCTGGTCATACACAAATCCATGGGGCTGGATGCAATGCATCCAAGGGAGCTGAGGCAGTTAGCTGATGTGATTGCAGAGCCATTGGCCATTATCTTTGAAAACTCGTGGTGATTGGGGGAGTTCCTGGACGATTGGAAGAAGGCAAATATAGTGACCATCTTTAAAAAAGGGAAGAAGGAGAATCCAGGAAACTACAGACCGGTCACCCTCACCTCAGTCCCTGGAAAAATCATGGAGCAGTTCCTCAAGGAATCCATTTTGAAGCACTTTGAGGAGAGGAAGGTGATCAGGAACAGTCAACATGCATTCACCAAGGGCAAGTCATGCCTGACCAACCTGATTGCCTTCTATGATGAGATAACTGGCTCTGTGAATATGGGGAAAGCAGTGGACATGATATACCTTGACTTTAGCAAAGCTTTTGATATGGTCTCCCACAGTATTCTTGCCAGCAAGTTAAAGTAGTATGGATTGGATGAATGGACTATAAGATGGATAGAAAGCTGACTAGATTGTCAGGCTCAACGGGTAGTGATGAACAGCTCGATGTTTAGTTGGCAGCCGATATCAAGCGGAGTGCCCCAGGGGTCGGTCCCGGGGCCGGTTTTGTTCAACATCTTCATTAATGATCTGGATGATGGGATGGATTGCACCCTCAGCAAGTTTGCAGATCACACTAAACTGGGGGGGGGAGGTAGATATGTTGGAGGGTAGAGATAGGGTCCAGAGTTACCTAGACAAATTGGAGGATTGGGCCAAAAGAAATTGATGGGGTTCAACAAGGACAAGTGCAGAGTCCTGCACTTAGGTCGGAAGAATCCCATGCACTGCCACAGGCTGGGGACCAACTGGCTAAGCAGTAGTTCTGCAGAAAAGGACTTGGGGATTACAGTGGACGAGAAGCTGGATATGAGTCAACAGTGTGCCCTTGTTGCCAAGACGGCTAACAGCATATTGGGCTGCATTAGTAGGAGTGTTGCCAGCAGATCGAGGGAAGTGATTATTCCCCTCTATTTGGCACTGGTGAGGCCACATCTGGAGTACTGTGTCCAGTTTTGGGCTCCCCAATACAGAAAGGATGTGGACAAATTGGAGAGAGTCCAGCAGAAGGCAAGGAAAAAGATTTGGGAGCTGGGGCACATGACTTATGAGGAGAGGCTAAGGGAACTGGGCTTATTTAGTCTGCAGACGAGAAGAGTGAGAGGGGATTTAATAGCAGCCTTCAACTACCTGAAGTGGGGTTTCCAAAGAGGATGGAGCTAGGCTGTTCTGAATGGTGGCAGATGACAGAACAAGGAGCAATGGTCTCAAGTTGCAGTGGGGGAGGTCTAGGTTGGATATTAGGAAAAACTAGTTCACTAGGAGGGTGGTGAAGCACTGGAATGGGTTACCTAGGGAGGTGGTGGAATCGCCATCCTTAGAGGTTTTTAAAGCCTGGCTTGACAAAGCCCTGACTGGGATGATTTAGTTGGGGTTGGTCCTGCTTTGAGCAGAGGATTGGACTAAATGACCTCCTGAGGTCTTTTCCAATCCTACTCTTCTATGATTCATAGGCTCCCGTATCTTTGATAACTAGAATGAACCCTAGAATCCCTGCCCAGTGTGAGAGGTCTGAATATCCTGACCTAAGGTATCTTGCTGGGGAACCTTTCCTGCTATTCTCAGATTCAGAGGAGAAGAAAGAATACTCCCCATGCAGAGGAAGGGCTGTATCAGTTGGTGCCTGGACTGAGTGAGATGTAGTGGGTACCAAGGATGTACTAAATGCTGATGTACCAGTGGAGGTACTTTTAAGGCTGCCAGCAGAGTTGAGTCTGAGGACAGAGAGAGGTCCTTAGCTACTAAGTAAACCTTTGGCATCGCACATGTCAAAGTCTGTGATATCTATTGCCAGTGATG